CTCCAACATGGATCTAGGCTCTGTACTATGTGTGTGCTGCGCCATCAGTATTTCTGCTTTCCTACGTCTCAGTGTTTCTACATCAGTATTTCTAAAATTATTTTTATTATATATATATATATGTAAGATAAAAGATATGAAAGCAAACTTCTAAATTTAATTCACTATAACTTCTTATATTTTTTATTTCATTTGGGAACTTCATCTATGTGTCCTAAAAATAGTGCTGTAAATCTAAAATGCGTCATTCAAATTAATCATACGAGCTTACTAAGTTCCAAATGTAAACAAATCTGGCTCCTATGGTAAGAAAATTAGACTTAGCCGCACTTAAACAACTTTTAAATTATTGATATTCTACAACTATTGCGTGGAAGTGAACTAAAGGCATAAAAACCTTAACCAGAAGACAAGGAAAATATAATTCAATCATTTTAAAAGCAAAAAATGCACAATTTACCAACATATAAGAATAAAAAAACTGAGCTCAATGAGACGAGTAACAGAATAGGTATATATATTTATATACTTTTGGTGCGGCCGATAGCCACCAAAAAGGGAGGTGCCCAACTACATGCTATAGCCAGTCCTATATACAAAAATTTCAACAACGTTTTGAGGCTACTCGTTTTTGAATTATGTGAGATAGATACGTACAAACGTACAGACCCCGTTAAAAAATCTCTTTTGAATCCATTTTAAATTAGTTTTATAATTCGTTTTGGGAATAAGATGTCCTTTATTCTGTCCTTACGTACAGATGTTACAAAAACATCGTTAAATTGCATTCGATAGAGGTCAAACTGGATATTTTCGTTGAAGTATGGTACCGGGAATTTTTCGTGATTAGAATACTTCCTTTACTTCGTAGAAGGAAGCAAAAATGAGGTTGTTCAGCTAGATTCAGGAGATCATGAACGCGGCTCAGTCGATAATTTCTTTTACTTGTCTCTACAAAAAGGAAAATGTTTTTGCATATAAATTTATACTAAAGTAGTTCTATTTATTTCCAGCTTTTCCGGATTTTTATTCTAAACTTTTTATTGTGATATTTCGAAACGACTTTATTGTTTTATGAACATTTTCTTTAATATTAGACAGCTGTTCATTGTCAAACGATCAAAGTTTGCATACTATATACTCTCTTATATTTTATCTCAATTAATTTCGCAGCAATTTGCACAACCTTAATAGATTTTTTGTGGGATTTTTCTTTTTGGCTTTGAAATTAATATATACATACATACACATGAGATATGATAATGAGGAATATTTAATATGAAGTATTAATCGTAATCAATTCAAATTTTCCGAAAATTGAACTTTAAAGAAATTGTATGCTCAATTTTTATTCACTAACTATTTAACAAAATACACATAACCAATAATAATACAAAGGAAAAAAACTAAATTATCCTGAAAATTTTCTTTGATCACTTTATTTCGAATTTTACCGCTACTCCATTTCCCCCCCCCCCCCCCCCCCCCCCCCCCCCCCCCCCCCCCCCCCCCCCCCCACCCCCCCCCCCCCCCCCCCCCCACCCCCCCCCCCCCCCCCCCCCCACTATAGCCCCCAGCTGTACAAACAGTTATAAATTCAACCGTTGTATATGAACTTAATTTATTTATGTCTATTACAGTTTTTATTAAGAAAAAATATACCGTGCACCTGCTTTTTTTTCCCTTCATAGGAATTGTTGGAAATAACTATAGCGTCAGAATTATTTTCAATAATTCCTCAATTAATTAAAATTAACCAGTAAGACTTCTCATAAAGACGGAAATTTATGCTGTATCTTGGATGCTAGTACTCTCATCAACTGCTACTTAGAACACTGTATGGATTTGTTTCTGATATCGTAAATCATTAGAGATTTAGTTAATGCCTTCCGCTAAAATATTGACAGAAAAAAATAATATTTTTTGTTATAATTATTATTTGCTAGGTTGTTTGTTATTTAGCTAATTTAATCAAACAGTCTTTAATGAATTCGCTATAGGTAAATGCAACTGATATTTTTACAATGAAGTGCACGAGAGCGGACTTTAACTGAAGTGTTGCTAACTATAGATTTAATTGTTTTAGCGAAAATTGTTGTTGCTGTAAGCTACGCTTCAGAAATTTTATTTTTTTCTCTCATTCTTCGTGATTCCATTCTTAAGAGTATCGTGAACTATATTCATTTGGAAAAAGTATTTACTTACTACAAATAAAATATATACAAAATTATTGCACACGATACCACAAAATTACATAATTTCCAATTTATCTTCAACACTTCCTTTACTGTCCACTTTTCTTTTACCCTTTGCTGAGGACATGGCTTGCAGTTTAGCCTCTTAATTAAAATAATTTTTGCACTTAGAACTTTAATTCAAAAAGATGAATTTTTGTATGAAAACAACATAGGTACTTATGTATTATTTTATCGATCGACCAAGTAACACTATTTAATCCTAATTATGGATGACTACTTCCTCTAAAATTCTACAGTAATGATTGGCGATTAACGACTGGCATTTCTGCCAGCGGTCGACAGGATTATATGTAAGTACCGGAACATTCAAAATGTTATACAGAGTTCTATACGACAGGTACTGTTATAATGTAGATCTAACAACAAGCGTAAATAGACAGTTTTTGTTAATCGTACATTAGTTTGTACTATACAGCAGTATGAAATGTGCGACTATATATACAGTTTACCAATTAGTGACTCACGCAAGGTAAAATATATACTTCAGAAGTAAAAAGTCAATAAAAGGCGGAGAAGAATTTTAAAAACTCAGAATACTAAAGCCCCACCAATTGTCGGATGGCTATCTAAATTTGCTGATTATACCGATATGGGAGGACTTTAAACCAATCACGTAGTCAGATACCTAAACACGACAAATCCCCAACCTGTTTATTCTATCTATTTTTCCTTCAGTTACGGTCAACCACATGAGCTCAGTCAGTATCTCTACGTCTGTAAAACTATAAGCACCCTGTTAACAGCAAATACATAATCGAAGTGTATTTCATGGGCCGCGTAAAATCGCTTCAGGTTGCGGCCAGCTGGCTGTCGAGTTAAGACAACTGCTATAATCCTCTGAAGCAAGGATTAAAGAAGTGTGCTTGTTTAAATTAGCTACTGATTGTTGACTATAACAGCGGTTCCCAAACATTTTGCGGTTTGAATACGGGGAGGGGGTGGAGGAAAAAAATAAATTTCGAAATCTTTCAGATTTTATATTACGCCCAAAGGGACTTTTTTTAACGTTTTGTGCGCTACCTTTATCATTAAATATGTTTTTCACATGTAAACCATATAAAATTCAATTCAACAGCAATATCGTAAAATATTTAAAAACAGCATATCTTTAGAATATCCGAAAGACATGAATAGTTTCGTCATTTAAAATACGATGAAGTCGTATTTATGTCGACTTCGTTGTTTTCGTGTTATTTTATTCGTGGACTTCGTATTATACGACTAGTTAAGGGTATGAATAGGATCAAAGATTGAGAAAATAAGGACCGTTGTAAGGATTTTTAATCTGCCTAATAAAGGTGGGTATACATATATAAATAAAGGTGGGTGTTTATATATATATATATATATATATACTTTTGGTGCTACCGATTGAAATAACAAAGCGAGGTGCGCATCTAGACGTTATAGCAATCCCATGTACAAAACTTGAACCTTTATTCTGCCCGTAAGTATAGACATCATGCAAACAATAGTCAAAATGGGAATTTCCGTTGAAATATGATACCCAAAAATGTTCACGATTCCTTACTTTATTTCTTTACTTGGTACAAGGAAGTGAAAAATGATATATAATTTTTAAAACATCACGAAAATCATCTTTTCATGCGGGATTTTTAATATTAATCTTTACATTGAAGAATTTATTTTAGTATTTATGAACTGTATGAATACTTTTATGTAAAATGATGTCAAAATAACATCACAAGACGTTATAGGGATTGTTATATTATACGAATTTAAAAACTAAAACGTCATTTTTTCTTCAGCAAGTAAAACCGAAACTAAGAAAGACACCTTCCATTTTACTTATTTATTTATTTATTTGGGGGGGGGATGAAAATTAAAACTCTGGTGTACTCATCAGTGGCTAAATGAATAAGTTACCCGAACTCTGTACCAAGATAATATCGAAAATAATTGTCTTTTATTCCCTCTTGGGTTTGGAATTTCTTTGGTTTTTTCTATGTAAATTTGAGTAAATCAGCTTCTCATATTAAACACACGAAGGTATCTATTATTTGCCATAATCAATGATGTCAACTGATTAACTTTTTGAGAACTCTTTTACATTATTTATTATTCAGAAACGTATGTCAAATTAATGATTGTCCAAAATTTAGAGGATATTAATATTATCTCAATTAAGAAAAGACATACAAAATTTATAATTTACTTCATAGCCTTATTAAACAGTTCTTTCCATTGGCTTAAGTTACAATATGAATCACGTGATTTCATATCGTCTGAAATAACTTAAGAGGATTAAAGAAAATATGTACACGCTCATATTTTATTATCTTAATTTTATTTATTGATACTGCAAAAATAATTAGAATTGTATAATGCAATGTAGAAGTCTGAACGATCCATTAAAACAATTTCAAATATAACTTTTGTATAAAGAGTTCGATGAAAATAGATATGGGTATTTTGTAATTAAACTCAGTTATTTTAAGCTGCCATTCTTGCTCGCCCAAATTATTAATGGTGAAACAATTGACATCAAAAAGGCTTAAATATAGCAACAGACAGAGGAAATTATTATTAAAAGCAAATCTCTGGCTGTAGAAGAATCAAGAAATATACCAAGTTTCAGAGAGAAAGTTCTCCGAAATAAATAAATTCGTATTATAAAAACTAAGTAGACCGCGAGTGGCAACATGTTCTGCATTGTTGATAGAAGAAGCTTGCTATAATTTTGAAGCTTTGACCAATCATCTTCCAAGGCCGGTTTCAACGTCTCTCTTTTGAATGATTCCACTGAAGCGAAATGGTGTGTTTGTTTTAGCTGCGTCTTGAATTATTCGGGTCAGTGGCCAGTGTAAGAAACAGTTAAAGCAAGGATATAGTTTAGAACTGAAATTCGGCTTCACTTCCTGTATGATGATCTTTCCTCTCAGCTATTCATAAAGGATTAGTTTCAATTACAAAAATGGGTGAAGAAATATATTTCACTAAGTAAGTGTTACGTATACTTGTTCCGTAATACGAGTTTGATCTGTTTGTTGCGAAGTTTTTTTCATAACATACTACATTATGCATGCGAAATGACACGAATTGAAGTCTTTATCATTACACATTTTGTATTATTTATGACATTTCAATTTGCAGCTCGTTAAATTCTTAGGAGGGAAATTTCTGATGTAGATAAGCTTTTGAGGACATTCAGATGGTAGGGCTTTTGATTTCTGTTATTTCTTAATATTCACTTATGATGCAAAGAAGATATTATTACCAAAATGCGGGAAATACATAAAAAAACAAACAAAAAAAAAAAAAAAAAAAAAAAGAAACTGAAATGCCAGATTATTAAAAGTGCAGTTTTTGTAGGAAATATATACATCGAAAAAATTAATAGGCAGACACGACGTATGATGGCCAGTACAGTTTCGGCATTTTGGTATTAAATTTGGAGGAAATTTATGAAGATTTTTCTTTGATTTAACCTGAGGTAAAAGTTTACAGTTGGGTGCCCTTTATTTTTTGGCGATTCTTTTTTGACGCCAAGATCGGCGCCAGGAAGGCACAATTTCAAGATGGTCACTACACAATACTAAAATAAGAAGTCAAAGAATTAGACAAACTCGATGTACACATCTATCTATTTTCACTCAAAAACTATCAGAGAACTGCAGAAACTAGGCATTTGCGGGCTGCGTTAACTTTTCCCATGTACACATCGATTTAATTTCACTTAAAAAATCAGGAAGCTAAAACAAAGTTAAAAACTATCATGGTAACCAGAAATGGGGTTTCATCGCCAAAATTGAACAAAATTTGTCGCCAATCGAAGAGGCACCCAATTCTAGACTACAGCCTAATCTGATAATAGCTATATATATTTATAAAGAAATATTGCATCCTTCCATGCAAGTTAATGCATCCAATTGGAAATAAGAAGATCTGTGATTCGAATCCTAGCGATAACGTAGTAGTTGAGTTTTTCAGATTTCCTGCTATCTAATGTCTGCAATGGTGGTAGAAATAAAAATGTGGTGAATAACAGCTCTTCGCCACAAGTCTCGTACCTTTCCTCACTTGTCAATTAAATGGAGAGAAAATATTAGGAACTATTACCTTCCCTTGCGTGTGATTTCCGGCAGCTAACCACTTATACCGCGAGTAGTTAGATATTTTGGATCGGGCAATTTGAAAAATTTAACTGTATCCTGGTCGGAATTCGAAACACCGTTTTTCAAATTGCCAGCTGAGTGGGCAAAGTCGGGCGTGAACACAGTTGATTTTTCTTTGTTTCATGCTTAGGAAAAAAAATGGCTAAAGTGCAGAATCGCCTACTTATTAGTTTGGCGCTTTTTACAAGAGTAAGAAGAATTAAATTTTTGCCAATTTTCTTTGACTTTTTAAGTGTAAATAAGTCGATGTGTACCGAGTATGTGCAATTCTTAAAAACGCACCAAGCAGTGGGCGATTCTGCACTTTCCCACAAAAAACTATAGTCAATATGCTAACATAACAAAAGTTTAGTATTTTTAGTAACGCTTCACTAGTGATTATATTTTTAGTAATGTTACACTAGATCTCAAAGTCGTAATTTGAGTTTTATTCACACATCGTAGCTAAAACCATAAATACCAACAGAAAATAGTGATAGTAATAATAAGAATACTTTCCTTATCAGAACCAGTGCCACCAGAATAATTATAGTGTTGATTGATAATAGTAAAGTAAACCAGCGCAATCTATCTGCCTTAGGATAAATAGCTTCGTAGAGGAAGTTTTGTGCTAAATTCTTAAGCTACATAGCTAGTTGTTAGCCACTATTTTTTATTTGTTTTCTAAATATCGCTAAGAAGTGTTTGATGCTTAAATTTACTTAAAAGAAGTATACATGTAAAAAATATAAGTCCACATATTTACCATATTGTACCATATTCATTACTTTACATATTTGATCATATAATTTAAGATGCGTTTTTATTTATCTAATTTAAATTTCTTAACCTTCATACTTAAACCTATAATGTTTCATTGCTTGTATTTAAGTGTTCAAAATTAATATAAAGTTATTATTAATGAACATGAGATTTAAAGTTTTTAATCGGTTTTAGAACTTGGATTTTAGAGTCGTACAATTCTTAATTTATTGATTACACACGTTCGTGATATTCAAGGAAAGAAAATATCTTAAATTTTTTAATTCCCTCATACAAACTTTACTGTGTCATATCGTATAGCAAATACAAATTCTGTTTTAGTGTTTTAAAATATACAAAGTACCTATCCAATTTTATGTTTGAGTACCTATCCAATTTTATGTATTTTAGCTAAAATCAGCAAATCGCGTTGCATTCCGTAGCCAACCATTTGGAAGATTTTACAACGGCGATTGGCTGGCTAATATGGCTGACATGCTTTTTGGTTAATATCGCTTGACAGCAATAACGCTTAAACATACTGAATAAAATGTGCGCACATTTAGGTACTTTTCCGTTTCGCCGGCGCAAATCTCGCCAAGCAGACTTTATTGACGACAACATACAGTATGCACATAAAAAATATTTAAAAAAGGTTAGTTCTAAGAATTTCTTTTTTGAAGGCATAAACATTTTAATATCGCTTAAAATTTTATAAAAAGCCAATAAATAAAGACAATAAATTTGTAAAAAGACATTAATTTAAGAATTTACTATGCTTTCATGGTTCAACATCCTGATTCGCCGGTTTATATCACGTGACACCAAGCGATCTCATCTCACGTAAACTACTCTACAAAAATCTAATGCTCTCAGTAATTATCTACATTAATTTCAAGTTAAATCTTAATTTGGAACACAAGTTTAAATGCAAGAAATATTTCAATTCGTACGAATAGCTTACTCAGAAATTATGTAAAACTGCAGTGCTTTACTTCGCTAATGCATTCTCGTTAGAATTGATGAATTTAACCCTTGACTTTACCTTTTCTATATTTTCGGCTTCGGGTTAAGCGCTGTGATTGCATCCTGGTTGACTTAATTACCGAAAATGGCAGTAGACATAAAACTGAACTATCTGATAAAAATTCTATGTAATTATATGCCAGTATTGAAAGAAATAATCAATCTGATAAGAAAAAGCTGCGACTTGTTTTGAAAATGAGGCTTAAAAGGTTACCAGCGAGAATATTCCGTTTGGCATCGGTTGTACCATTATTGGCGACTTTATCGCTTGCGCCGGCAAAACGGAAAAGTACCCACATTTAAATACGAAAACGAATGAAGTTATTAAATTTCATAAATGCAGCATAATTTAGATCTGAAGTTGGAATTATTAAAACCTATATAATATGACGAAAATGAGAATACTTTAAAATACTTTTTATATTTTTTTATTTTTCTCGCATATGGGCAGCAAACAAATGTTAGCATCACTATTACCAGACCAATTATTTGACCAACATTTGGCTCCTTTCTGTAGTCGTATCACTAAGATGAAAGTACTCATATTTACAAAGATTCGAAAAATTAAATTAACTAGATATAATTATGATATTAAAATTCAAAAGAAATGCATCTGGAATTTTATAATAAGCAAATTTCCTCACTCCTAACGGCTGAAAGGTTTGGATGCTACTCATGGTTTATTTCTTCACACAAGTCTTTTTAATAAATTCAACTAAAATAAGTTTGAATACTATTTAATTGTCAAGATTCATAGTTTTATTTAAATAAATAATAATGAATTTCATGTATCGATTTCCTAGTAAAACCGAATTATTGTCTATTATAAAACCTTCAGAATTTTAACCGTGGAAGAATTAAATATAAAGGCGATTAAACTGAGATTATTTTACGCACTGTTCTGTGAAAGAAATTAAATAAAAGATATCTTTTTTATTACTAGTGATAGTTTCATGGATTTTGTTCGGAAATTTTTTTGTTTTAGCTTTTTGCTTGAACTTTTTAATCAGTTTATTATCCATAAAAAAAATTCAAATTATGCGGTAAGTGTTATCATCTTCATGCATAAAATAAAAAGGGTTTGTTAAGGTTTTTCAGGCTCTCGCTGAGTTCGGAATCTACCAGTTTGGGCTGATCTTTGGAATATGGTAACTGGTAGTTTGGTGACATTTTGGAGGAGATAAAGGTTACTACCTAGGACTTTGGTAATAATGTGAGAAGTACTCAGTTCCGATTACAGCTCCACCCATCGCACCAAAGTACGTCTGATCACCGAAATCAAGCAGCAACGCGGTCTGTACTTGGGAGGGTGACCTCCTGAGACAACTTCTACTCAGAATGCGTTCTCGCCACTCGGACGCTGCATACAGCATTTTTGCATTTACACCCACCGAACTTACGAACTAGCTCAACGACGTGTCTGAAGACTCATAACTTGCAACCTCACGAGATTTTCATCTCTAACTATGAACGATTTAACGTTAGGGTAGGAAAGATATGCCATTTTCGCACGAATTTGACACAGGATGGGTTTTTACTACCCGGGTGCCTGCTACAAGTGTTTCTAACACCTGAGTCTTCCGATTACGCATTATTTTCTGTGAGAGAAATGAGAGATCATGAGATATGTCATGTGACATTAATGGACGAATTACAGTTTTTTAATCGAAAAAGGGGGGAATTTGGAAAACCTGTAGTACTATATTATTTTGTATTAAGCTTCATTGTGTGTTGTGTGAAATACTGTTGATTAATTTTCGGATTGCATGGCGCTATGTAAAGTGAATTCTAAATTTTAATACGTTTATCTGATAATAATAATAATAAGTTGAGATTGTGTGAAAGGAAGGATATTACAGATAAGTTTGAATGGCGGTGCAAGAAATCTGGTGAAAATGGACATTTTGTGAAACGGTGTGTAAGGAAGGGTACGTGGTTTGCTGAAAGTAGTTTGAGTATGGGTGAAATTTTATCAATTTCTTATTACTGGGTGAATAGACTGCCAGTTGACTACTGGATTTCGGATTTAGAAATTAGCAGTAGTACTGCAGCCGATTGGAACTCTTTCTGTAGGGAAGTGTGCGTGCCACGTAATGAAGATTCTGAAGATTAGGTAAGTTAGTATTTTTAATCATTTGAGGATATTATTTTTATGCATTGTTCTAAATATAAGGAGTAAATAAATTAATATGGTATTATTGGAAAATTGTTATTAGCAATGATTTAGTTTAAAGTAATTAGGATTGTAATCTAATTTTTATTAATTTAATGTATGTGCTTATTTATATTTTAAGTAGTGATTTTTAATTGAATTATATTTTAATTTAATGATCGTGATTTTGTGAGTTATATGTTTGTAGTATTTTGGAATACGTTTGAGTAGAATACGTTGAGTATTTTCATGCATTTTCGTGAAATTTTTCTAATTTATGAGAAAAAGCAGTGTACATGGATATAGTGAAGAGTGTGCGCAATGTCATTTTTGTGCAAATCTGGGATGTTTTTTTAAGTAAAAATAAGTCGACGTGTAACATGGTTTAGTGATATTTTAATTAAATGATAGTTATTTTGTGAATTTTATGTTTGTAGGAATTTGGTATACGTTTCAGTTGAAGTAAACGTGCATGGAAATAATTTAAATATTTGACACTAAGTATTTGTAACCATTTGTATTGTTTGCGGTATGAAATCGTTGGTGACGTTTATAATATAATAGATAATTTAGAGGTAAAAGTTTTTGGATATTTTATTTATTTTATACGTGGAAATGTTCATACTTGGAAAGGGTATATACTTTTTCGCGATCAGGTAATTTCATATATGTTCTTTTTACCGAGTTTAAAGATTCACAAAATTGTTTTGCATTTTCGTGCAAATTTTTGTAATTTATGAGAAAATAGCAGTGTAGATGGATAAAGTTAAGAGTGTGTGCAATGCCATTTTTGTGCAATTCTGGGATGTTTTTTTAAGTAAAAATATGTCGACGTGTAAATGGTTTATGTGTATGTGCTATTCTGAAAAACGCGCAAGGAGTTTGCGATTGTGCACTTTTTCCCAATTTTGCAGTTAATATTTGTCATGATTAAGCAGTTTTGTTACATAAAATTTCTAGCATAAGTGTAATTCGGCTAGTAGATTGTTGGAAAAAGTGTTCAGTAAATAAAAAGAAAAGAAACATGTTTTACTTCGTGAAGACAAAATGGCGGCGAAAAAAAAAAAAAAAAAATAGAGGTTTGCTGTAGCAGAGTTGGTCGCCAAATTTTCGCCAAAAATCGCCAAGTTACCATAATCCAAAGATCAACCCTAGTTTGTTGTTACACTCACTCCTACTAACCCTTTTTTTTTGTCATTTTAGCTTTATTATTAAGCATCATTTTATTCGTACTTATTCCATTTACAATTCAACAGCAAAATTACAGAAATTTTAAAAGCAGCATAGGAGTATATGTTTAGAATTCCCAATATAACTCTAAGTGTTCGCATTTTTTTTCTGTTTTTGCTTCACCATTTCTCAATTTATTATTTCAATGTTCGGTTTTCTTTCTAAGATTGATTAAAAAAAATTTTTTTGGCCTTTTTATTAGTAGTATTTTTTGTGTAGTAAATAATGCGTTCTTGGTGCTTATGCCATATAAAATTTGATTCAAGAGAAAAATCACAAAATGCGAATCTTTAGAATTTCCAATAGACTGCGGGGCGATCTAGAGATCTAAAAAAGTTTTTTTTTTTTTTTTTTTATTCCTTACAGTATTGCCACTGCTCACTTTGAAATCGTCGAGTTTGTTAAAAATTCATTAAAGTTTTACAAAATTGGAAATAGGTAATAAAACAAGCTTAAAATTCAGGCTTCCAGGTGCCCATGTTCAGGTGGAGGACTACGATATTCAAAATTTGAGGTCTCTAGGTACCGTTGGTTTTTCACAGTGCGAGAAACGTGCATACAGTCATGCAGGTTCTTCATTATTTAATTTCGTTATATTACAGGTTGATCGCATTGGGTGGCAACAATTTGAAACAATTTTGATACGTCGCTTAGAGTCGTTTATAGTAACACGTCGTCCATTCGGAATTAACGTCTATTTTGTGCTAATAAGTAATTGATAAAAGAAAGTAATAACACCTGAAACATTGATCTCTTTTTTGGTGAATAGTGTTGTGTAAATTTATAAATATTTATCTTTATAACAGTTTTTCGTGCTTACTTCAAGAAATTTGCTTACGTGCTTACTATAGTGTGGCATGCTACAGAACAACAACCAAGTGCCTTCGAAAACTTTGCTTACGTGTCTTTGGTATGCCAAGTCCAAATTTGTTCTCGATTATTTGCGAAAATTTCATAGGCGCATAGTTAGTAACATAGGAGTTTATAAGTATTTTGTGCAATCTTCTTAAATAATTTTTCAATTTATCATAATTCCTTTTATTTTTAGGTAGTGTGAGAATGGATATAGAGTATTTGAAAATGGCCGTTGGAAAGTACCTATGTGAGGCTCTGACGGACTTAGCTATACGGCGTCCAGAAAGGCCAATTGAATACTTAGCTTATTCTTTGATCGCTCTGCACGAAAGGGAGCTTGAAAAGCAACGGTATGAAGAAACTAAAACACAAATACCTAAGGAAAACGTGGAGAGAATGAAATCTCTGATAGCTTTTGATTCTGCAGCCACAGTGGAAGAAATGATTGCTCCTTTCCTAACTGATTCAGTTACTGAACATAAAATCATTCTTGAAACCTCTCCATCCACTGAGAGGATAGAAGAATCAGTTTCTCAGTCTAATTTGATACCCCTTGATGGTATGTCGAGTTCTAAGATTTCCTTGGACAGAGTATCAGGTTCCAAGACTTCCTTGGACAAGGAGTCTGGCTCTAAAATTTCTTTGGACGAGTCAGGTTCCAGTCCAGAGAGGTCCTTGAGTAGAGACTCTGGTTCTAGGATTTCCTTGCACAAGGAATCTGGCTCCAAGAGTTCATTGGGCATGGAATCAAGTTATAAAAGTTCTTTGGGCAGGGAAACAGATTCCAGAAGTTCATTAGACAGTGAAACAGATTCCAGAGTATCTCTGGATGGGGAATCGAAGAAGCACAATATTTCACACCCCAGAGTTGGAACTGACATTGAAAGTGCTTCCAAGACTGCTGTAGACGAGATTATTTCAGATTCTATTACTTCTTTGCGTAGGATGTCACAACCTAGGATGAGTGTAGACTTAGTATCTGAACCTAAGACTGCTCCAGAGAGTGAGTCAAGTTCCCAGACCTTCATGCGTAAGCTTAGTGAAACAATATATGGTTCAAGAATTCGCTCAAAAAGCCAAATAGAAGAATCCCTTGCTATGACTTTCGAATCAGTATCTTCCGTTTTGACGGGCTCTGATGTCACCGAAGACAAGAAAGAAACTTTTTTGCCATCTGAAGAAGGATAGAAGTTAATATTTTGTGCTAAAATTTGAATGTGATAAGAAAGTTGGATACTGTATAAAAGGAAATGTCGTTTAAATGTATTTATCTGTAACACCTTTACATTATGTACCTTTAATCAATGTGCATTAAGTTTTAGCTATGAACCATTAATTCCCGTTTTGTTTTACATTTGTTCTGCTTTAAAGCCTTCAGTGAAAAAAAAAATAACAGCAAAAAAGTGTTCATGAAAAGAAAGCTTTATGAGTTTTTTATCTATATTTTTAAATTCCATTCTCTAGTGAAATGTGTAGATGAAAAATAAATCTTAATTCTCTTTACATAAACAAGTTTTCCTAAATAAGGAAACGAATTCATTTTCTTTATATGTAACATTTTTAGAGATACTCAAGGGCAAGTTTATCGAAGACATTTTCAAAGCTTATAACGGATTTAAAAAGCTATTCAGAATGAATTTGGAGAGCATCTATCAAAAAAAAAAAAAAAAAAATCTGTTGCAGACACCACATAATTTTCTTGTACAGAATATTAAATTACACGCATTTTTTGCTGCATTTCTTTTAAACTAATTTCATCAGAGATATATTTCTCATTCAATTAACTTAGTTCTCACTTCACGACAAGGCAAAAATACATAAAACCTCCAAATATCGTCATTAAAAATTAAAAGATATAGAAAAACATAAAACACCAAATACAGTTAAAACAATTAAAAAAAATAATTTTTACAATTAAAATTAGAGTTTCTACGCAAAAACAAGCAATTCAGCTAGCAAGCAAGAAGGCAAATTTTTCGGATCACAAAGCTAAAAGTTTCCTTTTGATCCCACTCGGCAAAAAGACACTGAAGGCGCAGAAACTCACTTAATTCACTGTTCTGCTAAGTTTCAAATGTAAACAAATATAGCAGCTATGGTAAAAACAATAACAAAAAAAAAAAAAAAAAAACCTAGACTTAGCCGCCCTTAAGCAACTTTTAAATTGTTGATACTTTTACAACTATCGCATGCAAATTAACTAAAGATAAGAACTTTAACCGGACATAATGTAATAATTTTTAAAGCAAAAAATGCTCAATTTACCAACACATAAGAATAAATAAAAAAAAATATTGATTAAATATATATATATATATATACGTATATACCTTAGGTGCAGCCGATTACAACCAAAAAGGGATGTGCACAACTACATGTTATAGCAGTCCTATATACAAAATTTTAACGTTTTGAGGCTACTGGTTTTTGAGTTATGAGAGATACAGGTATACGTACGTACGTACAGACGTCATGAAATATGATACCCGAAATTTTTCGTGATTACAATACTTCCTTTACGTCGTACAAGGAAGTAGAAATGGTCAGCTTGGCAATTAATAACTTTGCTTTACATAAAATAGCCTTCATAAATTTACAGGTGGACGTTTCATAAAGAGCCCAACTAAACTTTTTTGAAATTGGTTTTTAATCTTATCAGAGATAATTTTGCACTTGAGAATATAGAACATTTTGGTTTTAATTAATTAAAGCTGTAATGAACAGTTTTATAACTGGAACTTCTATTCTGAGCTCGACATGTAAAATGTTAGTTTAAAAACACTCCTTTGTCGTATTTTCTTAAAATTCTGCCTCTTATTTTAAGAAACTTTGCAAATAGAAGTGAACATCTATTGTATTAATGCTCAAGGATATAATGATGAATCTCCCAGCGACTTTTGCTAAGACTTTAAATAGTTTACTTATTATAACTAATTTGTTTGGTTTTACTCGATCTGTAACTAGTAATTAGTCCATTAACCCCGATAGATGTAAAGTGACTTATCGCTATGTCTGGAGTAACTACAAAATCTTGAGAAGGTTTAAATAACCTTTTTATTTGAACAGCATTTGGAACATAATACACTTACTTGTGCTAACAAAATATCAGCCATAAGTTAGAACAGTTGTCAAAGATTACACAGTTAAATATTACTCAAAGGTGTCTCAGTAATTCTACCGGAGCATCAAAATCCAACTGTCGGCAGCGATATAAAACAAAGCCCAACAATTGAACCTATTAGAGTAGGCAGAAACTAATACGTAGCGTGCACTCGAAACCAGAAACACGCTCTGTCTTAAAATCCAAAAACCTCAGTATAAATACTAGCTATCTCATTTGCACTATGAAGAGAAATATGTAAAGCAGAAGGTATAATAAGTACCCAAATCTTAAACGGTTAATTCAAATAATAACCTACAAAGTGTAAGCTATATATACGTATGCACTGTTATATTGTTATGTGCCTACGGATTCTTAATGGACTGAATGCAGACAGAACCGCTGATATCTTGATAGAATTTAGTTTTTAGGGAATAAACATTTTACAATTCTGGAACTTTCCACAAAAGTCCTCGCACAGCTCTTCTCAGTACAACAAAGCACAATTAGTAGTTACCACTTCAAACTACTTATAACGTTAAACATAACGCAATGCAAAACGCATCTAAAGAAAGAAGCTCTTACGGAGATTTCTCAGTGCTCCGAAGTCTGCTCTGAATTGAGAAACTGAGAAGTGGTGCTCTCTCCGGTCTTATATAGTTTTTCTTCGGCCGCCGAGAAATTTTTATTACCTTTGTTTTCTTTAAATTATTGGAAGGCATATATGGTTAAAATCCTCATAAGGGCCGCTTATGGTTACAGTTATATATAGTTATTAAATTATAGTATTGATTTCAATTATAAAAGGACCGCACCAAAATGTCGTCAAATAGTCGCCAAATTTGGCGACCATTACCAAACCATTGCCCGCTTGGCGATATCTCGCCAACTTAGTGAGATAGCCCTTTTCCCCATTATTAAATAGTAACATGTAAAATGTTAGTTGATTTTAGTCTTATTTTTCCGACAGAGTTTCTGTTTTTCTTGAAGCCGTTCATGTTACATTATGCAAAATTCCTAATATTATTCGTTATTTAACGTTGTGTTGTTTGTATTGTTTGCGTTTTTAAACTTATTTATGTAAATGTTGTTTTATACTACGTGGCGAACAAAGAGTTTTTAAAAGATATACTGTTATTTTACTTTACTAATTAAAATATATTATTAAAATTACTATTGCATGTTAATTCTACTTCAAAATTCATTAAACATGATTCAGCGCAGCCAATCGTTCTGTGAAGAAAAGATTTGTTAGTTAAACAAAAGTTAAAGTGACCAATATTTAACTAGTATGCTATGAATTAACGCATCAGTTACTTAATTAAATCATATGAAACACACTAAAACCGCTGCGTAAAATTATGAAGTACTCCTGTATTCATAAAGTTCGAGGAAAAGTCAGACCACGTGCATAAAGCTTACAGCCTTTGAATTTGGCTCTCAAAGGGCGGTACAAACTTTCTATACTTATACTATAGAAGACATAAACAAAGTGACATCATCCAAGATAGAGCAGTTTGTGTTGTAATGGAAGCGGACTTAAAAGCATTTTTCGAAGAACCGGCCTGATGTCGCATTATGAATAAAGGTTTTTTTGATCAGAAATAAATTCGTTCGGGATTTATACATCTTATTTGCCAGATTTGTTTCCCCCCTAATTGCTTTTTTCTTCTTAACAACGAATGCCAAACGATCAAATGCCAAAGAAGACATTCTTTCGAATGCATCTACGACATGCAGGAGTACTAAAGGAAGTATACATCTTTTGACAACTGTAATTTTAAAAATGACTGCATAATAATCGGTTGTAAGAAGAAGAAAAGAGATGGTTGTGTGATTGATAAAATTTATGCCAATTATTGTTGACTTTTATATAACAATCAATTTTCCTTGATCAAAGTTTTGTTACAGATAACCATAAAGACATTCGTCACGCTTTGTGCTCAAGGTTCTCTAACCAATTGCTGCTCATGATTATTCATGATGTCCTTCATATGTGGCTCTATGACTAAATATGGTCAACAGCAGAAACAATAAGAGAGGTAAAGAAAGCTGGTTAACTTAACTGATGTGGAAACTGTTTATGCTGTTTATTTTGGAAGGAAAAAAACACATCTAAATGTATTTAACTTATAAACCATATTAAAATTATAAAATATATTTTAGGTTATTCATATTTGCATGCTACAGACCGACTTCTCAAGGGATAATAATAAGAATATAGCTAATCTGAAAGAATAAAACATGTATAATAGTAGAGAACTGAGTAACGTTTCGTTCAGTATAACCTTTTGAGCAATTACAGCTAAAGCAAAATAAAATAAACATTAAAAATTATATAGAATATTTTAACCTCACGCTCATTTGCGTGAAACAGTCTCGAGTAAATAAATACATAATTTAAAAAAATTAAAATTACGATTAAAAACATAAATTGCAATGGCATTAAGAAACGTCTAGCTAAATAACACGTGAAATTACATTGAAAGTACAGCAATACATATATATATATATATATTGAAGTAATGAAATGAAATTCATTGAAATCGAAATAATTTTCCTAATACTTGCGCAATAGCTGCAAAATAAGATAATAATTTATTTACTAAAGAAATATTGATTATATTATCTTCTAATATAAATTTAGTAGAATGTATCTAAATGAAGTAACCCAGATGCATGAACATTTAATTCCGAAACTATTTTTAAGGGATTAATAAAATAAAATTAATTAAAAATATTTTCGGGATTAAATTTTCGTACATCTGAGTTACTTCATATAGATACATTCTACTAAATTTATATTAGGACATAATATAATCAATATTTCTTTAGTAAATAAATTATATATATATATATACACTGAAGTGACAAAAGTCATGGGATACCTCCTAATATTTTGTCGGTCCTCCGTTTGCCCGGCGACGTGCAGCAACTCGACGTGGCATGGACTCAACAAGTCGTAGGAAGTCCCCTGCAGGAATATTGAGCCATGCTGCCTCTATAGACGTCCATAATTGTGAAAGTGTTGACGGTGCAGGGTTTTCGGCACGAACTGACCTCTCGATAATGTCCCATAAATGTTCGATGGGATTCATGTCGGGCGATCAAGGTGGCCAGATCGTTCGCTGGAATTGTCCAGAATGCTCTTCTAACCAATCGCGAACAATTGTGGCCCGGTGACATGGCGCATTGTCATCCATAAAACTCCCATCGTTGTTTGAGTACGTGAAATCCATGAATGGTTGTAAGTGATCTCCAACTAGCTGAAGGTATCCATTTCCAGTCAATGATCGGTTCAGTTGCACCAGAGGACCGAGTCCATGCCATGTAAAAATAGCCCAGACCATTATGGAACCACCACCAGCTTGAACAGTGCCTTGTTGACAACTTCGGTCTATGG